GCCGCGTGCGGGCCCGCCCTGCCCGCGGGACCCCCCTGCCCAGACCCGCTGCGGGGTGCGAGGAGGGCCCGGCCCAGAGGACCTTGCCCGGAGCAGGGCATGGGGGCGGCACGTCCCCTGGGATCGGAGCAGCCTCGGGACCCCCTTTGCAATTTCATTGGCCCAGGAGAGCCAGACCCTCCCGGGGAAACGCGTGCCAGTCAGCGCCGCCCCCTCCCCGGGCAGAGGTCGCCGCACCCGCAGGGCGCCCTCGAAGGCTGCAGTTTCGGGCCCTCCCACCACGTACGTCCCCTGGGCAGTTCGCTTTCCCCCTCGCAGGGCCGGGGGTGGGGCGGGCCAGTCCCGAGGTTAGGAAGGAGGGCCTGGGCCGCTGCCTTCGTGGGCACTGGGGAATTGAGCCATTGACATCGGCAGCCTCGGGGGTCCCAGCAGCGAGGGCGAGCCGGAATCCAGCTCCTTTAGACCCCCGTTGTGAGTTAGAGCAGAACTCTGGCGCAGTGAAGGGCCTGGTTCTGGGAGATTTTAAAGAGGAAGCTGCATTTAAATTCTCAAGTAGCATTTGCAGTCTTCCCTACCCCGAACACATCTTTCTTAAGGTTGGAGGTGGTGGCCACCCCTGGACTTGCACCTTCCCTGGCTGTTCCTCCGCTTGAGCCTGGGTGAACACCTATCTTTGCCCCTGCGGCGCATTCCGCACGCCCTTGATAAAGTAGCCCTCTCCTTGGCAAGGGAGAGCCTGCATTTGCAAAGAATGCAGTCTCAGAGTGGGGCCCTGTATTTGCAGTGACCGGACTTCAGGGACATAGGGTGATGAGTTCTGCTGTCCTTACCGGCACCAGGGAGCAGAGGCTTTGAAATCTGGGTTGCCCTGGAAAACCCAGGATGTGTGACTGTGGGCAGGGGAGGTCCCAACCCTTGTCCAACCTCCCTGACCTTCTGCCGGCTCTCCCAGGGAGACAGCCCTCCCCAGCAGTGGTCTCTGGGCGGTTGTCAAGTCTGTCCCCCAGTCATTGCAATATCCCTGGTCTGGGGGGAGGGGGCTGCAGCTCTACCACCTGGGGCTAAACCCAG